AGTTGTCCAGATAATTTCTTTCTATTATTTTTTTAGTAGAGACAGGGGTCTTGCTCTTGCTCAGGCTGGTCTCGAACTCCTGAGCTCAAACAATCCTCCTGCCTCGGCCTCCCAGAGTGCTAGGATTACAGGCGTGAGCCACCACGCCTGGCCTGTTTTATTGCTTTCTTTATAGCTGATGTCAAGCATTTGCTTTTCACCAGAGTAAAATAAAAAAATAAAGTGAAGCAAGTGGAAGACACCTGTATAACATTAACACTGCAAATGGCCATGCCATTAGCTGTCCGAGAAACTCTACTAGAACAAGGTTGTCTTGACTTTAATGTTACCACGAATGATGGTTATTTGAATAAGTTGTCTGAAGTCATTATAGCAGTTGATTATTTCCTTAGCCATTTTTTCTAAGTCCTGAAAATGTTAATAATCAGTCTAGTTTTTTTGGAACTTTTAAAGGCATATTTGAGTTTAACTGGAAAAACTTCTCAGTTGCTGAAAATTGTTTTTTTGCCCTCACTTTTGTTTATCCTTGTACCAGGTATCTTCCTTGACTTGATGCACCTGAAGAAAGATGGGGGCTTTGACATATCCTTGTTCTACAGAGATATCATCAGCATTGCAGAGGATGAGGACCTTGGGATTCACTTTGAGGAATCGAGCAAGCTAGAAGACCTGTTGAGGAAGGTTCGCGCCAAGGAGTCCAGGAAGCGAGTGCTCTACAGGTGTGCACTAAGCCTGGGCTAGCTGTGCACAAGTCCCTTAACAAATCATAAGCAATGCATTGCTTTGATCTCCTTGGCTACTTAACTCTGGACTGTGCTACTGCCTGTCTGTGTTCCTCTAAAACACTCGCTTTATTTCAGGATAGCACAAGGTATTGACTTCTCTTTCTTTGGCAAGAGCTGGTATTTCTCCAAAATAACACAGCCCTCCATTTCCTTGGTATAACCAATTGTGGTCTAACAGTATCCTCAGCTGTGCTCACTTATACAGTCAAGTGTTGCTTAACAATGGGGATACGTTCTGAGAAACTCACTGTTAGGCAGTTTCATAGTACAGACAGCATAGAGTGTGCTCACACAAACCTAGGTGTAGCCTACTATACACCTGGGCTATATGGTATAGCCAGTTGCTCCCAGGCTACAAACCTGCACAACATGGTACCATACTGAATATTGTAGGCAGTTGTAACACAATGGTAAATATTCATATATTTAAACATGTCTAAACATAGAAAAAGTACAATAAAAATATGGTATAAGAGATAAAAAAAAAAAGGTACACCTGAATAGGGCACTAACCATGAATGGAGCCTGCAGGTCTGGAAGTTGTTCTGGGTGAGTGAGTGGTGAGTGAGTGTGACGGCCTAGGACATTACTAGTACTGTACACTTTTATATGACTGGCAGCACAGTAGGTTTGTTTATACCAGCATCACCACAAACGCTTGAGTAATGCGTCAGTATTATGATGGCTATTATGTCACTAGCTGGTGGGAATTTTTCAGCTCCATTATAATCTTATGTGACCACTGTCTTATACGTGGTCTGTTGTTGACCGAAATATTGTTATGGGGCACAAGATTATACATTGTTTGCTTTCTTCTCTTCTGTGATTGGGAATAACAATAGTACCTGCCTCATTAGTTTACGTGAGCAGTAAATGAAAAGCACTTACAAAACAGAGCCTGGTATGGAGCAAAAACTCATAAATATTAGTTATTATTGCTATTAGAATTGTGTTACTCTGATTTCTTATAAACCAGAGACCAGTAGGATCTAGATTGCTAGAGCCTCTTCTTTTCGAGAGCCTTGACATAGAATCCTACGGGCTCTTCAGTGTTTCTTCCTAAAGACAATCAGACTTTCATTTGAGACCGGTTTCTTCAGTTCAGGGGTCATGACCCTTGGTAATTTTGGAGCAGTTTTCAAGAGTTTATTGACAATTCTACTAGAAAACCCATGCAAGTATTTTCAGGAAACCATGAACCACTCATTGTTACAGTTTTAGTTTGTCATTGCTCTCTTTTTGCCCCTAGGAATTATTTTTCTTTCCTCAAACAAGTACCTTGTTAACCTCTTCAGCCATTCTGAAATGATGGAATGTTGTTCCTGCTATAATTTGGAAATCTACCACACATTTTGGTGGGGATGGTATGGATGATAAAATAGAGGTTTAAATGTAGGTCCTAGAATCAAGAGTGCTTTCATTCTAGTCCTGGCCCCTCTGCTGTGTGACCTGAGGCAAGTCCTGGAGCTTCTCTGAGCCTCAGTAAAATGGGAGCAAAAATGGTACCTCGCCATAGGATTGCTATGAGTATTAAAAGATAACCTAGGTATTGTGCTTGGCACGTGGTTTATTTATAAATGTTAGCTATTATTATTTTGTGGAAGAGTGGTTATAGGATACTTGATATAAATAATAATAAATTGGAGATGTTTGAGAACTAACAGTGCCTTAGGCCTAAGGTCTAGAAAATTATTAAACTTATTCTTACTATAATCAAATAATAGTAGTGTTTTATTGCATGGTTATTATATGCCAGGCTCTGTTCTAAGTTCTTTGAAGCCTGAGGCCAGAGTGGACCACATTGATCCATGCTTTGTCCCAGGACACTGAGATTTAGAGAAAAGAACAGTTTTTTTTTTTTTTTTTTTTTTTGAGACAGAGTCTGGCTCTGTTGCCCTGGCTAGAGTGCCGTGGCATCATCCTAGCTCACAGCAACCTCAAACTCCTGGGCTCAAGCAATCCTTCTGCCTCAGCCTCCCAAGTAGCTGGGACTACAGGCATGCGCCATCATGCCCGGCTAATTTTTTCTATATATTTTTAGTTGTCCGATTAATTTCTTTCTATTTTTAGTAGAGACGGAGTCTCGTTCTTGCTCAGGCTGGTTTCGAACTCCTGAGCTCAAACAATCCGCCCGCCTCGGCCTCTCAGCACACAACAGTTTTTAAAAATTACTTTTGAAGATTGTGCAGTTTTAAAATTGTTAACATTTATCATCAATTCTCCTTTAAGCAGCCTTTAGACAACCAAGTTTACGTTGAGTAAGCCACAATAACTAAAGTGGGAAGCAAACACCCATCAAACGGCTGAGGCTGTTAGTAATGCCAGTCTGTTACTAAGGCTCATCTGTAAGCCCCATCATGTGTTACCAAGTTGATCTGAAGGTATATTAGGTGCTCGCTCCAGGAATCAAAATTTCTAGTTATGGCTCTGCCCAAAACCAATGTTCTTTCCACTGTGTGAACTTTTCAACTAGATATAAACTTGTTTAAACATGATCTCTTCTTTAAATACTTATTGCTAAGCATTCTACAACAAACAGCAAAGATTTGATTATTAATTTGAGACTTTTTTTCTTTTTTGGTAAAAGTTTTAAAGCTGTAAATTTCCCTGTGAACACAGTTTTAGCTGCATCCTGTACATTCTGATATATCGTGTTTTCATTTTCATTTAGTTCAAAATAATTTTAAATTTTCCTTGTGATTTTTTTCTTTGACTCCCTGAGTTATTTTGAAGTGTATTTTTTAATTTCCAAATATTTGAGCGTTTCCCAAAGTTCATTCTTTTGTGAACCTCTAACTTAGTTCCATTGTGGTTAAAGAATATACTTTGTATGAGTTCAGTCTTTTTACATGTATTACTTGTTTTGTGGCCCAGCATATGGTCTGTCCTAGAGAATGTTCTATATGTGCTTGAAAAGAATGTGTAACATGGATTATTTTATGTTTTTTTCCCCCCACAATATCACATATTGTAAATATTTTGCACATAGTCATTACAGAACACATTTTCAGGAGGTCCTATTGCTGTTTAAGATGTTGGTATACACTCTCCGGAGCAATGTGTCATAATAGAAAAGTATAATACATGAACTTTGAATCAGATGTACTTAAGTTTGAATACCAATTTTTGTTAGTTGTCTGTCCTTGGACAAGTTATATAACATCTCTGAGCCTTAATATTTTTATCTGTAAAAGGTTAATAATAAGGGTCTTGGGTGGCAACCAACGGAAACTGACCTTGACTAATTCAGCATATTCAAATCAAGTAGAAACCAGGGTGGCTCCAGGAATGTAGAGAGCAGAAACTAACGACAGTGTCTTTGAATTGCCGTTATCAGAAAGTATCTTCCGCATCATGTCCTTCCTTAGTCACTGCTCAAGACCCAGACTCCCAGGAGAGAAGGTCCCATGGCCTTCTCCCAGGTCAGATTGCCCACTACTTGGCCAAGGGAGGGCATGGTAACTCGATTAACATTCTTCCAAAACTAGTTGGAGAAGGCTAGTTCCTAAAGAAAAATTGGGGTTTCATTCTTAAAAGGAGGAGGAAAGGATACTAGAAAAGCAGAAACAACAGATAATTGATACAGTACTTATAAGGTTATTGTGACTATTAAATGAGAGAATGGCTATAAATTGATTGGTATAGTGCTGGGCTCAGTAAAAACTATCATTATTTTTATTATACAGGTTGCACCTCCCTAATCTGAAAAGTTGAAATCCAAAATGCTCAGAAATCCAAAACTTTTTCAGTGCTGACATGACGCTCAAAGGAAATGCTCATTGGAGCATTTTGAATTTCAAATTTTCAGATTAGGGATGTTCAACTGGTAAGTCCTGTATAATGCAAATAGTCCAAAATCCAAAAAAAATCAGAACTCCAAAACACTTCTGGTCCCAGGCATTTCAGATAAGGGATGCTCAGGTTGTAGTACATTCTGTATCATTATTTTTAGTAGTTAATATATCCCGAAACTAATATTTGTGGTTTAGACTCTGTGGTGGTATTATGGCAAATCCTGTTATATTATTAACATGCATTATATTTATATTCTAAGAGCTTGCTTAGGATTATTGGAGAGAATAAAACAAATTGAAGCTTGG